CCGGAAGTCTTAATCGCCGAGCTGAGAGGCTTGTTGCTGGAGCTCGATAGCTTTTTCGTAGAGGTAGATGCTCTCTTTACAGTACTTGAGGAACTGCTAGGCTTACCCATGCTCGAGCTGGTGAACCTCTTCGTTGAGCTTGAAGCGCCCTGGCTTGAGAGCTTGGAACCACGAATTGGCTTAGTGAGTCGAGACGAAGTGGAGGCATTCTGCGTCGAACTCGATATCTTGCTTGATGACTTGACTCCAGTTGCTGAAGAAGCCCGTTTCGAACTCAAGGGCGTGTTGCTTGAGCTAGATCTCTGTGTTGATGTTGTTGGTCGCTGAGAAGTCGTTGTTCGAGATGTCGACTTTGAGAGAGGCGCTCCTCGTATCACAGATACGGTCTTCTTTGTCGAGCTTGGTTTCTGTGTCGAACTTGACTTCTGTGTTAAGCTTATCTTCTTTGTCGAGCTGGTCTTCTGTGTTGATGGTTTGACAATCCGGCCACTGCTAGTCACTCGTGTGGTGCTGGTCTTTATTGAGGAGACTCGGCTGGATGATTGTCGTGTCAAAGGTTTTGCCGTAGACAAAGCGCGACGTGGAAACACCATCGTCTTCGAAGTGGCAGACTCGGAATCGTGAGACAAGGGAAGTAACCCATCAGGAAGCTGCTCCTCGGAGTTCCGACCAGCAGAGGAGGCCAAAGACCAAGCATCGCGAGGGGTTTGTTCGTCATTCTCCGGGATTTGATTGTTGTTGAATCGAAATGGCACGGGAATGTCCACGTCGGGTAAAAACTTCTTGAAGGCTTCGAATACGGAATCCTTTCTCCCTCCAGATGGTTGAATATTTGAGTCCCTACGAACAGATGGTTGTGCACGATCGCTACCTGCATGACCACCTGATTCTTCCGTCGCAGCACCAGACAGAGATGACAGGATGAGGCCACCCGACAAGGCCGCACCGTGGAAGCGCATGTCTAGTGTAGAGTTACTATATTTCTGACAGATTAGTTGGTTATTAGTGATTGTAATGATAATTAGAAAGTCAAGAAAAAGATCAGTATATTGCACAAAGGCATCGCGACAGGACGTGGACTTGGTTCGAAATCAGACACAAGGCAATCTTCATACTCTCCCAGCGTCGACAATTCAGATGGTACAAGCTGCAGATTTTGAGACACTTCAACGGCACCATCAATACTGGGGTAGCATGACTGGTCGAGCAAACTGAAGTCCATTGACACAGCAACGATAGAGACCAAAAGTAGATGGTGGGGCCAATGAGATAGAGCAGCAACGGTGGAAGGATTTCTGGGCGTCATCAACCAGAGACACCTCTGATAGTTCTTCCAGAATAGGTAACGATTCCATTGTAAGCAGTGGTCGTACTGTCGATCAAAGATCCGACTAGAACCTCGATGCATGTTCTGGAAAGTAAGACGGATCACCTGAATTGGGGAACGAAGAGACAATCCGAAGATTTCCGATGAACGAGCGGTATAGATGTCTGTAAACTTCACATGAGGCTGCAAGCGAGGACGTTAGTCTGACAGGATGTAGCTAACGGCGAACTACAGAACAATTGATATATCGTGTGATGACGCCGTTATTGCAACCCACGGTTCTCCGAGATCCGGGTTTCGAGGCTTGAATCTCTTATACAAGAGTTGGTTGCCTGCTTGTCCGGTCGCATGGTAATAAGTGACAAGCCACGCAGCATGACCCTCAGACATGCTGTATACAGACAGACAGCTTATTGAGCTCTAGATTCAATATGAGGCATCTTTGAGGTGAATCCTTGGCAGGAGGCTTCGTTCGACGAGCGGACTCACAATCGGAGCTTTCTTGACCCACTATAACGAAGACCGGGCAACGGAGTCTTTGTGCTAAATTTCATTACGTCCGTAGCTGTGTATGTCAATGATTTGGAGACTCCGTATCTACCAGAGAATATATCGAGTAGTGTCCTGCGCGTCTGCAAGGCTGCAATACAAGTTAAAGCTTGGAAGTGTTATACCCATCCTCAGATTTAGTATAGGCAGCGAGAAATAGAAAGATGACGGGTGACAAGAGGGTTCGCGGCGAGCTGAGCCCGAGATCTGGAGCTGTAAACGGTTTGGAGCCTACCGGTCTGTATGCAGGTCATGAATAAAGACGTTTTGTAATGGTGAGATTTGAGCTACGAGCTACTGGCGAAGACGCAGATGCTCGGGAGTCATGACTGGACAGAACCCTAGGCGTGAGCGAGGATACACAGCATGGAGGTGTGCAAGATGGTGAACAGTGAGACAGTCACTTGGTCATGACAGGATGTCGATAGTTGTCAAAGGTGTCGACTGAGGGGGGAAGGAAGGAAGGAAGTGTGGTACAGCAGGTGTCAAAGCTTGGGCCCACGGAAGCCGGAAAACGGCAGTAACCTAATGAGGCAGGAACAAACATCAACAGAACTTCAGTCCCTGACGAGAGCCCAAGCAGGACCCTTTCCTGCAATCTAATAACAAAGGACTTTTTTCTGTCCACTCCTTTCCGCTTCTACAGGCGCCGCTTGGGCAATGGCCGCTTGTCAAATCTCGCTGGGGCTCGGTCGCGGTTTCTAGAGACCCCCACGACTGATCACCCGGGACAACAAGACACTGCGCCCACGGTGAAAGTGTCTAGCAGGACCACAAACGATCTTGCTTGTCGCCCTCCCACCGGCCCAGCTCGGAACCGGTCGAAATCAACTTAGCGACATCAGCGCCTTCCTTATTGGTCACCTTCCTTCTTGTTATACTGTTTTTTTCCTAATCCGACGAGTCATGTCAGCACCCACGCCCTCGCTAGAGNNCGCCAAGCTGGTCGTGCTCGGTTCTCAGAATGTGGGCAAGACTTCGCTGGTCCACCGTTTCGTCCATCAGACCTTTCTNCCCCCCAGCACTCCATCAACCGTTGGTGCCTCCTTCCTGACCACGCGCGTCCACGATCCCGAAACCGATACAGACATACGCCTTCAGATCTGGGATACCGCCGGCCAAGAGCGCTTCCGCAGCATCAGCAAGCTATACTATCGCGGTGCACATGCTGCCGTACTATGCTATGACATCACGAGCAAGAAGAGCTTCGAAGAGATGGGCGTATGGCTGCGAGAGCTGCGCGACAAGGGCGGCTGGGGCGAGACTGAAGACTTGATCTTGCATGTCGTGGGCACAAAGAGCGATGTTGTTGCCGAAGACCCCTCCAAGCGCGAGGTGCCCTTCGAGCGCTGCATCGGTTATGTTGCTGAGCAGCTCTACCCAGATCAAGTCGTTCCGGGCAGTGCTCGTCCTTCGAGCGCCATGCACAGCTCACCTTCGAGCAACAACAATCTTGCCGCCATGGCCTCGCCTCACAGCAATCGCAGCAGCGGCTTCTGGGGTCAAGAACACATCTGGGACTGCTGCCACGAGATCAGTGCAAAGGACGGCGAGGGCATAGAAGAAATGTTCCGCGTCATCACACGCAAGCTCGTTGACCAACATCAGCGTAGGCTTGATCAACAACGCACCGTCGAAGCCTCCATGGGCCGCACGCCCTTTGCTGAAGGTGGCCCAAGCTACTTTGACCTCCCGAACGGCGGCACAGGCAGCTTCCGGGTCGGTCATGGCGACAAGAGACGCAGTTGGCTAGGCTTTCCCAATACTCCTGGTGCTGTCAGCTATGCCTCAGAGGCTGGCGAGAGCGAGGACAACACCAACGTCAGAAAGGGACGCTGCTGTTGAACACGATCATCATCCTCATCCTATTCTGACCCACCCAGCTCATACACATTCACAACACCTTCATCCGCTACAACCTTTATTGTCAACGACCTTCTGAGTCTCACTTTTCAGGCATGGCTCTACCTCTGACTTCTTCCAGCATTCTACTCTTCTTGATCACATTCTGCCATTGGCATGGCATTATTCTTTCTCATTGTGGGCTTTTATGCATGCACGGCGTTCCACGGTTGTACGATATGGGCGAACGACTGGGCATTTCTTGTTACTTTCTCCATGGCTTCTTGTTGGGGCTGTTGATCAAGCGAGCACTGAACAGCGGATTGTTATTAGTGTTTCTTCTTTGGCCTGTGGCGCATTTGCATAATGATGGGTTTGTTTCTATGACTGAAATGGCATTTGCGTAGTTTCCCACTTTCACCAAGAACAACATTTTATTCATCTGATGTGGTTACGTCTGACTTGATCGATTCAATGTGGAACTTGAGAAAAGACGACTTGGCCCTATACTCGTGCACTGCAAAACTTCTGATCCTCTGTATTTATGTCCTCTTGTCGGGGTTTCTCAACAGTCTATAGTCATTCTTATTAGAAGTTCGTGAGGACGGGCCGGCGCAGCACCGCAGTATCATCTAGACCAAACCCGGAGCAGGCTGTGGGTAAGGATCTGAATATGCTTGTTGCAGAAAAAAGAACAAAAGTGCAGACCAGTCTCGGGTCCGGTATAGGGACTAATGACTTGATGACGCTCGTGGCGATAAGAGATTTGACTGTAGGGATGTTGTGCATAGCCAGAGAATCTCGAGTGATAAGGGGCTTGTTTTGATGAATGGTGTGCGTCTGAAGAGAACATCACTATAGGAGCACAGGAGCAGATGATGGACTGAAGAACGCGATTGCCGTATGCAAAAGTGTCGGGTCACAATACTTTCATGCCGTTCACAGAGCTGTTCCTTCAAAGCGTATGTGTGTTGCAGACCAGAAGATTCCGAGGAGCTAAAAATCACGGGTATCATTTTTCGTGTTGTATGTTCGAGTGATGGTGTTTTTTCGAGTTATCTTTTGTTCAGCTGCAGGCTTGTTTTGACGCGCTTTTGCAGGCTCCCTCTCTCTTTCATAATGTCTTGATCCCCAAAGACTTTTCTCGAATCTTTGATCGATTGGTCCACGTCTTCCGTTTCTCGAAAAAGACCCCGTCCAGAACTCCATGCTTTGAAGAAATGCCCAAGAACGCCGAGTTGTTTGTATGCAAGAGAGGTACGGTTTTGTGTGTGCGAGAAGTTTAGACGCGCTGTCTGATGATGTCGCGCTCGTTGGGGTTGTAACTGATGGATGTGTTAGTGAACCAGCAGATGCAGACAGAGCGGGAGTTTGCGTACCGGAGCAGCTTCTCGATCAGGTCGACGTGGGTCATGAGCATACGGCGGCAGCAGTAGCGTGTCAGGCCGAGCTTGTCCATGGCGTNCACTGTCGCAGCTTGTCAGAAGTTTGTGTGAATGGTTGCGCGCAAGCAAACTCACCCGTCGGGCATGCCCTCGTCCAGCAGAGCCATGTAGCGCTCCCAGAGGTCGGCGACAACCTTGGTCGTTTGTCAGCGCATTGCGGGAGAGAGGTGCGGGTTGGGCTCTCGTAGACTGACCTTGCCACAGGAGAAACAGCGGATGGGGATGATCATCTTGTGTGTGGAATGAATGCGCTGGTGGGTCTTGGGTGAAAGGAGCGACTTGTTGCAATGTTCGAGGCGGCGACAGTGATGGAATTCAAGTTGATGCTTCGACAATCGCAAAAAGCAGCGCCAAGGCTTCTCCGCGCTCAGGAATTTCTGGAGCCGCGTCCCGACGAGGGTTCAATCAACTTTTTTCCAGCAAGAAAGAGACACCATTCTGGAAGGCGCAACCATGTCCGACGCACAATTGAAGAGAAAGCGCTCCCAGCGTGACAAGGCTCCTGCCACCACTTTGCCAAAGCGCCAGAAGAGTGACCACCTGGACCAGGACGCAGCCACAACCACTCCCAAGCCCGTCAAGACGCAAACACCAAAGTCGACACCAAAGACGCAGACTCTCGACCAACTCAGCACACCGACCGTCAACCTCCCGCCCACCGCTGGCTCCACCGATGACAATGCGCTACAGGTAGCCACCACTCCGGCACTAGGAAAGAAGGCGAGGCGAGGTCGCCGCGATGTCAAGAGAAAGGGCACCGACCATGTTGCCATCGACCAGGGTCAAGTTGTCGAGAAGCCACAAGCAAGAGTCGAGGGCAGGGCACCTTGGGCGCTATCCAAGCCTCTAGGTGGAAGATTCATCCTGCACGACCCCATCTTTGCCCAGGACGAGAGGTATGCTACACTCTGCTTACAACTGTGTCACATTTCCTAATCATTCCCNAGCTGCGTCTTCGCATCCAACGGCCGAGAGATCGAGGTCCTGTCAATTACCACATCGCTGGTCGAGAGGAAACTGCCTGGCCCCGACCGCTCAGCCACTGCCTTTGCCGTTTCAGCCGCCGACGACGAAGACTTGTACATTGCTTCATCTACTGGCCGTGTCCAGCGCTGGAACTGGATCACTGGCACTCGTCTTGACGAAGATATCAAATTTGAGGGCGCCATCTCTGCCTTGATTGTCACACCGTCCGAGGACGCTTCACAAGACACTTTGTACGCCATCTGTCGCAATGGAGACGACTGGAACATCGTCACCCGAGGCCGCACAATCTACACATCAAAGGATTCTCTGAGCCATCTTCGCGTCGAGGGCCAATTCGTTGTCGCTGCTACCTCGACGAAACTGGTCGTCGGCAAACGTGTTCCTGCCGAAAACTCGCCGCGCTACGACTTTGTCGAAATTACAGTTTCCGCCGGCGTAACAAGTCTCGAATGCAGAGTCGAGTCTAGCGAGACCAAGAAGAAGGAAAAGACGGAAAACATCTCGGTCGCTGTAGGAAACGTCTCTGGTGAAATCTTCCTCTACGAGAATGTCTACCCCTCGAACAAGAACGCCGAGTCTCTGACTCCTCGCAACCTGCATTGGCATCGCGAGGCTGTCGCAACCGTCAAATGGTCCAAGGATGGAAACTATCTCATTTCTGGTGGTAGAGAGACTGTTCTCGTGCTCTGGCAGCTGTCAACTGGCAAGAAGCAATTCCTCCCTCATTTGACTGCCGAGATCGAGCGTCTTACTGTTTCGCCAAACGGCACATCATATGCCATTCAGCTCGCTGACAACTCGGTCATGGTTCTTTCTACCACTGAGCTCAAGCCCACTGCAAACTTTGCTGGACTGCAGGCTCAATCGTCTGTTGACAAGAACACTAACGCTCCAGTCGACATTGAGAAGAGCTTCTTGCGCGCAGCTGCCGCAACTTTGAACCCTCTGTCTCCTGATCAACTCCTACTATCTGTTCCTGCTTCAACCAACGAGTCCTCTCAGCACACCTCATCCGCCGCTCCCCGACCCTTCCTCCAGACTTATGATATCTCCAACGACCGTCACATTTCCCGCCAGGCCTTGACTCGCAATATGGTCACCGACTACAACAAGGGTCCTGAAGGCAATCGCATCAAGGTTCCTGATGTTGCTTTTCTCCAGGCCAGCCACGATGGACAATGGCTTGCTACGGTCGAACACTGGTCTCCTCCTTATCCTGATGTTGAACATTTGGCTGCCGACAAATCCTCCAACGACGAACAACGCCTCTTCCGTCGGGAAGTCTACCTCAAGATTTGGCGATGGGATGCCGAACGCAACTCCTGGGCTTTGGAGACAAGAATCGATAGCCCTCACCAGTTGGGTGGAGATTCTCAACCTGGCCGAGTCTTGAATCTTGTCGCTGACCCTGTCGAGGTTGGTTTCGCAAGTGTAGGCGAAGACAGCTGCGTCCGTATCTGGAAGCCCAAGACACGCCTTCGTAACGGTATCGTAGTTCGTGGCAGCAAGGCTGAAGGTCTTGTTGACTGGTCATGCCGTTACTCTGTTCCTGTTGATCGCAGTGTTGAGCTGGCAGAAAACTCCGATCACTCTAGCCTTTTCCCACCTCCCAAGGGCGCTGCACTCGCATATTCTGAAGACGGCTCTGCCATTGCCGTATCTCAAGCTTTCGAGCATGTCACGGAAACTCCTACTGTGCATTTCATCAACACAAGTGATGGAGCTACCGAACAAGCACGCTCTGGCTTCTTCACCGGCATCGTTCGCGCCCTTGCATTCCTCGACCGTCATCTCATCGTCCTCGCCGATCAAACCGTCGCGGTCTGGGACATTGTGGATGAAGTCCAACTTTGCTGTATTAATCTCGAACGTGCCGCCCGATTTGGTACCTCCATCCTCACCACAAACTCCGAAGACAAGACTTTTGCCGTGACAACCAAGACAAAGGGCGGTGCTTCTCGTGTGCAAATATTCAGTCCTACAAGCTCGTCTCCCCAATTCAACCAGTCCTTGCCGTACCCTGTGTCGGCTGTATTGGCCGCCAAGGGCAGAAAAGGCTATAAGGTTCTGACCACTGCCGCCGAGGTCTTCACCATTGTCCCTCAAGCAGCTGCGCCCGTCCTCGCTGGCGTGCGCACACGTCGTGGTAAGCGCTCTGGCGCCGCCACATCCGCCACCATCGCCAAATCCACCACATCTATCTCAGCACCTGTGCCCGAGAGTTCGGAGGACGCCGAGATGGCACAAGTCCAACCAGCCGATATCTATCTCCTCGAGAACGACGAAGAAGCCGATAAACCAGTCGTCAGACCTGAGCAATTGGCTCAAGTGTTTGACAGAGAAAACATTGCACTCATGCCTGTCAGCGAGATGTTCAATGCTGTGGTAGGCTTGTTTGCTAGGAAACCTAGAGCTGTGCCTGTCTCTGCTGTTGCGTAGATGTCGTCTTGGCTGACAAATGGATGAGCTTTGGACTGTGAATAGAAATTTATTTGATCAAATAGAATACCCCCTTTTTCTTTTTCCTTCTTTTCCCAAGGTCTGCAATATTGCCTCATCATTTGTCAATCGAACTTGAGTGTTGAGAGTGATGTGCAATTTCGACGAGTACTTGTGACATGTTACTGGGAGAAAGGGGGTCACTCACTACAAAAGCCATGCTCCATCAGGAAGCAAAAGTGATGTAGAATAGTCATCATGACAAAAAAGCAAAGAGACAAAAGTTGGTAATTCTACGTCCTGATGACCAATAAAAGAACAATAGACTATATCCTAGCCCCAAAAAAGAAACTAATCACTGGCCCAAGCCCTCGCTACTCTAGTCGATGCCGAGAAAAACAACAACAATGGGGGACTAATTATGTTACACGTAACCATGTCAAAAGGTATACAAAAAGAAAAAGATGGGGGTGATGTGCCTGCGTCACCTCTCATGTTGATGCCAACAATACGATGGGAGATTGCTCTTAGAGGAAGAGCAGAGAGGCAAGGAAAGCCCCAAAGGTTGCAGCGCCAGAGGAAACAACCATGGGTGCTGCAGCACCACTGCTTGTGGCAGCAGATTGAGAGGCAGTTGATGAGGCCTTTCCAGAGCTGCTACGGGTGGCGCTAGAGCTTGCACCAGTGCTGCTGCTTCCAGTGGCTGCGGCGGTTCCCGTGGGTGTGGAGGGGGTGTAGTTGCCAGCAAGGCCAGGACGGTTGCTGTCTTGCTCGGCAAGAACAGTGAGTTCGAGGTCGTTGATCTGTTGGCCGTTGTAGTCGTAGACAGAAGCGGGCATGGCGGTGCTGGAAACGGAAACAGTCTTGCCCTTGTTTGCGCTGGAGATACCGCTGCTGATCAGAGCGTCAACGCCGCTGGGGCGGGCGGGAAGGTCCCAACTGCTCCAAAAGTTGCCGGTGATAAGATCGGGGTCGCAAGTTGGGGGCTTCTGGCCAGTGGCGGTGCTGTTGGCAGAAGTAAGGAGGTTCTGGTCGAGCTTGCTATATTCGGTTGCGAGATAACCGTAATCTTCGCGGAGATGGACCTCGTCGGCGCTGGTAATGTTGACAAGGCCGTAGTCGTTCTCGCCCTCTGTCCATTCGTAGACCAGACCACCAGACATGACGCTCATCTCCTCGCCATAAAGGACGGGGACGTTGGTGAAAGTACGGGGCTTGACGAGGTTGCATCCGTATTCGGAGAAGAAGACGGGAATGCTGGTGTTGCCGAATTGCTCGACGAGCATGTTGTAGCCAGACGACTGGTAAGTGGCATCGCCGCACCATTCGTAATCGTTGAGTCCGAAAAAGTCAATCTTGGATGATGTCGAGTTGGCCAGCTCGCAGCCAAGGTACTCCCAAGTGGGGCTGAGCAGGTCAGCAACATCGGCAGCAGAGTAACCAACACCAATATCTCTGTCCACGTTCTTGGCGATGTAGTCCTTCATGTCGCGGGTAACAGCGCGAATGTAGGCAGGTGCATTGACAGCACTCTGCTCATTGATGACCTCGTTACCGGAGAAGAATCCAAGGAGGTTGGGATAAGGTGCGAAGGCCTCGATGACGCTGAAGACATGGGTAAGATATGCGTTCGTGTAGGTTGTCCATGGTGCGGTGCGGTCCAGGTATGAGTCTTGGAAACCGTTGTTCACATCGAGGATCATGTAAATACCAGCAGCGTTGAAAATGGATGCGCACTCGTCGTGGTTGAGGTCGGCAATCAGGTTGTAAACTCTGATAGTGTTGACACCGAGACGCTGCATAAGAATTGCATCTCTCAAGCACGCCTGACCGTCGCTCAGAGGATCGCTTGTCTGAGAAACACCGGAGGAGCCGCCGGGCTGGTANNGCTAAAGTTGACCGTTAGGATTGCGCGTTGACAGATGTTGCGTCATGATGAATTCTTACTCGACACCAACAATGGAGAAGCGGTTTCCGCTCGACTTGGTGATGAAGTTTGCGCCATTGACAGTAAGAGGCTGGACTGCTGCTGCAAAGGATGAGAAGAGCGAGGCCGCTGCCAGAGCGGCGCCCGAAACAGATGTCTGTATTTAGAATTAGCATACGCGGCTTCGCGATGGTGGCATTGCGCGCGGATGACTTACCGTCTTCATGATGATATTGATGAAGGCGAAGATGTTGTTTAGAAGCAAGCGTGGTGCGAATAATGAGGAAAGAGCGATTATAAGAAGCAGGAAAGTCCCAGCCTGCACCAAGCCAACGCAACAAACGTGAATCCAAAACCTTGATATTCTTGAAAAAGTGGGCGTACGAGGCTGCTTGAAGTATCCGACTAGCCGCGGCGCCTCTTGGAGCAATGGAAGCCAAGCGCCGGGAGATTAGGCATGTTTGCATTGATAGGTGCCGCTCTATCTACATATTTCACTTTGAGACAGACTGTATGAGCCCTACATTTGGATCTCCATACCCCTCCCCTCCTCTATGGATATTCAGTACGGCCTGAAACCATCCTTCGCTATTGAATGATTTGACACGATTCCAATTTCAGCTTCGCGAAACAATTGCCGTTGGTCAACAAGCCTTTTGCAGCTCGTCGCGATACGAAATGTTCGTGTTTTGATGTTAATTTTGGAGTCGTGTCAGGAAAATTCGGTCCGAGCCTCATCTCGGAGACAATCGACATGCAGATCCTATTGGAGATCCGGTTCTCTCCAAGTAGCAAATCACGATGACTAGAATACTTTCTCATCGATCAGATCCACCAGAGCTAGACTGCGATGCGGGAATAGTGCGACACAATTGATGCGGTACAGGTTGGAGCGCACCGCACACAAGAAGACAAACGCCTAAGAGTCGCAATCGTTGCGGTCATTATTGACCTAAGAACGCTGCCGCGCATGTCGAGCACTTGACGTCGACATAAACAAGATATTGATCAAGCTTCAGCACTAAGGTAAGCATGCATAACATACTCAACGTTGTACCACATGCAACTCAAGATCTTAATGCGGACGAGGCGGGTGCCGGCATGGTTGTGGAGGGCTCTTCCGTCCAGCATGTGATTGCAAATTGTTCCGTCAGCGACGATGTGTGACAGAGTGTCACAAGTGGTGAGAGAAACGGTCAGTTCTGCGCTTCCACGATCCAAAAGATGTCCTTGACATGCTTCGTGGTTCGGTCAAGCTCATGAAATCGTCTTGTCGGACTTGTCGAAAGCTGGGCACGGAAGTCTGCGGCAAACGTCATGCGCCTTCAGCCCCAGCCACCTCTGACGGACAGGCGGGAACCTGCACTTCACCTCCACCCGCAAACGACATCAAACAGGTTCAACTTTTGTCACTATCAAACTCTGAAACATATCCTCGGAGGCTTGCAGCATGTGTATCGCCCTGCTTACAACAGCGCATCCCCAATATCCGTTCATCCTGCTGAACAACCGCGATGTGATTATGCTCAACACCACTCTGGCCATGTCTGTCTGGCCGAACTAACACATCATGGTTATANNGGAGTTCTTGACTCGACCGACTGCAAAAGCTTCCTTTTGGCCTTCTCCAAACGAACATGTTCTTGGCGGTCGTGACTTGCAGCGTCCTGAACAAGGCACATGGCTAGGCCTCACCAAGCAGGGTCGTCTGGCCTGTCTCACCAACTTTCGCGAGTCTGGCGCACAAGTGTATGGCACGAAGTCGCGAGGAGGTCTACCCAAAGCATTCTTGACTTTGCCTCCACAGACTACGCAGTCTTCACAAGAATTTGCACGACATATGGTCGAAGATGTCGGTGTAAGTGATGTCGGCGGCTTCAGCCTGGTCTTTGGCAGACTAAGTAAGAAGAATATCTGTGCGAAGGACGGAGAAGGCCTTGCAATCGTCTCTAACCGCACCGAGGATGCATCAGCTACCACGTGGATTTGTGGTAAGCCTGATGAAATTCGAGGCCTCAGCAACTCGCACTTTGGTGATAGGACATGGCCGAAAGTCGTTGAAGGAGAGAAGCAATTACGAGATACTATCCAGGAACACACTCTAGCAGGCTCAAGCAAAGAAGATTTGCTCAAATCCTTTTTCGAGATACTGAGTACGGACACTTTGCCTCGTCGTAAGCATGGCCAAGATTGGGAGACATACGTCTTTCAACTCCGTAATAGCATCTTCATCCCACGCATTGGAGGAGAAGATCTGGAGGACTCTTCAGCCGATGAGATCGCTGCAGCTGATGAAGATCTGACTGCGAAGACCGACAGCGGAGTCTATGGTACCCAGAAGCAGACAGTCATCCTTGTTGATCACGACGGAAAAGTCACGTATGTTGAGAAAACACTATACGACGAACGTGGTCATCCAACAGACAACGACGTTAAGCAACACGAGTTCGAGATTGAAGGATGGAACGATTGAAGATCTCTCTATGTCTCATCTTACAGACCTCCACATCAACATCCTCCTCAATGACTGCAAGACGACTAAGTACCATAACCCACTTTGTTGTAAGCATGACTTCAGACACCACCTAAAGCACTCCACGTTTCCACTTCAGCCTGACCAGGGTCCACATTCTCCTTATTCTGGTCCTTACCGATGGAGATACCCAATCCCACAGCCTTTGGCTTGGCAACAGATCCTGTCAGCTTTTTCGGACTCAAGCTGTGCGGTCTTTTGACTGCGAGTTGATTGTCTCTGTTTCTCTGCGCAGATAGCAGAAGAGGTGCACTTGGCAATGACTCCATCATGCTTCGATGCTTGTAAACCTCAAAGCTCTTACCGTCTGGTCTTGGAGTGTCCGTAAACACCTTGAGATTCGAGCGTCGCTGCTTCTTCGTGTCGGGAGACTTGGGCGCAGATGCGATGCTCTTCGGGGCTGGAATGTAGCACTCTCGTGCCTTGCCCACCCTGCGTATACTTAGCACTGATGCTTCACCAATGTAGCTCTCCTCTTCGTCCTCGATCTGGTCATTGGCTTCGCTGTATACACTGCGGTCATTGCTCATGATGGCTTCGGTGGAAGACGAATCTCTTTCGCTATGCTGGTGTGCTGCAAGAGTATTCAAGCTGGAGTTTGAAGGCGCATCGAGATAGGCTTGCAATTCCCAAGTGCCTGCTGTAAGCATGTGCTGATTGAACATCTGAGTTGAGCGGCCAGAAACGGTACCGTTGTGATTGTTTTGTGGGATAGGCTTTGGTGGAACAGTCTTTGGGGAGATGCCAGACTCAGGACTGGGCTGTGCGGTCGTGCTCGAAGCATCTGCGTTGGTATCTTCACCTATTTTCTTGACATCCACCAGCAGACGAGCAGGGTTACGTTCAGGTATAGGTGGTGGAGGTGTGCTGGCCACAGGAGGGAAGAGCGGCGACAATGGTGGCCTCGGATGTGGTGTTGGAGGTCGCGAAAACGGCACTTCTGACAGATGTCTCGAAGGAGCTCCAATAGGCGGTGCAAGCCGACGGTTGATGACTCTACCTTGGTCCTGTGGTGCAGTATACCCTGGTACACCAACGACAACTCCTAGCTCGTTTGGAATCTCACAGATTGCGTTGCGTCTACCCGTGTTGTACATGGGCAGTCTGCCTTCGCTTACACGCGATCTCGGTTCCATCAACTCAATTTCTTGTCTTGCTTGGGCTCGAGCAACAGCACCCTTGGTAGCTCGGGCTCTTCGACATAGCACGCCCAGAATCAAACTAAAAGAGATGGTGAAAGCGGCCACCGAAAGAGCGAAGAAGACTATCAACGCCGATCTTCCAGCAACTGCATGAGGAGTGCCGGCCATCACGCTGCGAACGAACAAGATGGCAGAAACCAGCAGTATCGAGCCTGATGCCAGAGCTGAGAGGCTGAGAGTTGGTAAAGAGGCGTCCAGCTGGCGTACACATTGTCTTTGACGCTGCGACAAACGAGGCGGCTTGTTGTCCAGCTTCTGAGCCGGAGCTGATTCAATTGGAGGCAACACAGGTGGTAGGGGTGTTGGTGCTCTGTAGCCAAGTTGAGGCAAACCTCTCTGAGGCCGCTCGAGGGGTGGAGGGGTGACTGGGTATGGAGGATCTGGCATACCAATTCTGGTAGGACTGGGCTGGGATGGTCCGACTTCATGATGGATCCATTGGCTCTCTTGTTGCTCTGGATGCGTGCCACGCCTGGATACGGGTCTTCTGTTTCGACGACGCTCGTTGAATCTGGATGGAGGGTTCGCTCTCGATTGTGGGCGTGCTTGTGGATCTTGTTGAGGCATATCCGTTCTCAAGATGTCGGGTGCACTCTCCCATGCTGGTGGGATCCTCATTCTGACCATGATACGTATTCAAGTCTGCTTGTCAGGATCGCCTGACAGGAAGACAAGAAGCAGTATAAGAAGAAAGATCAGCCATCCACTTCGATTTCACGAGAGGTGTTGGAAATATTCAACACGATATGAGACTGAGACATCTCTTCCGCTATCCTTTGGCACACGTGCAAGCAAACATTATTCTCCAACTCGCTACTTCTTTCAATGTCTCACAAGCCTATGACAGCTATGAGATTGATAAAGGGCGGCGCGGATGGAACATCTTACCTTTGTCTCTGCGGCTTCTTGAAGCTGTAAGACTTCTCTTGAATCTAACACCACCCTTGAGACATTCTCCGACCTTCTACCAGGCTTGATTCTGGGAGATCCATGTGCTTCCACCATGATGAGCACCCTCTCGTGAGTGGTTTCTCGACACACGTCGTGCTTTGATTGTGCAAAAGGAATCAATAAGAAACCAAATCAGCTGTCATTCGAAAAGTTAGCAAGAAGAAAGAAGGAGAAAAGTGACACCCATAACAAATTAAAAAAACAGAGCAAAAAAACCAAGATTGACTTGGGAGAAACAGTTCGACCAACCAAGGTTACGAGTTGAACTGACAACCTCTGGATTCTATTTACGCCAGTTTCTATCGAGTAGTCGCTGTGTGAGCCACAGAACCGAACTCTACAATGGGGAGAGACTTGGTGCAAGATGTGGCTAGTGTGGGTGAACGAACATTGGAGGTTGATCGAAGCGATTGTTCACCTTTATCTATGCTGACGATCAACTCAGGGGCATGAGTTAAATGCGCTCTGGATGTATCTCTCCTTCTAACATGTGAATGCTGAAAGCATCGCTGATAGGTTGGGTTGTCTTCGAGGTGCGTTTCGATTGTTTGTTCACGGCCCTTGACCTCTTCAGAAACGCATAGCAACCGGGGACGGAAAATCAACTACACTGTCACTTCGCACTTCACTCCCTGTCATCAAAATTCGGCCAGCTTTCTTCTCTCTATCGTTTCTTCTTCCTTTGACTTCCGTAACTCTCACACCACGTTGACACGACCTCTCATCACCTCTGGCGCAACACAATCATGCCATCTCTCAAACAACTCAGCTGCTCCATCGAGCTAGGCAGCACGCACACCAAAGTACCCGAGTACGGTAAAGACTATGGCGATGGCCACGTAACCAGCTACATTGCCGTGCCCAGCGAACAAGTAAACTTCAGCATCCATCTTACCTCACTCGGATACATTGCGCCTGGTCTTGCCATGTTTGTTTACATGGATGGCCAGTATCAGTGCAATCGCAACAGATGCGGACTCAAGGTTCCTGGCAAGGGCGTCAGAAATGAGCAAGTTGAGGTTGATCTGCGCGTCAGACAGAAGGAGTCGAAGCAGGCGGATGGAAGTTTTCTGGGCAGAGACTGGACGTTTGCTGGATTGAATCTTGGTATGCATTGTGATGGGTCTAGATATCTATGACGATAAGGCCGCTGACTGCTTGTAGTGTCTGCCGACAAGGTTGAGGAGACTGACGAGGTGTTTCTCGATAATTTGGGCACCATCGAAGTCATCGTCTTGCGCTGCAAAGATGCTCCCTTGCCACCACCCAGCGAACCTGCAAGCAGAGAGAATTCCTCTAGAGCCACAATCGAAAGCTCTTCTCGCCTTGCCAGCAAGCCAGTATCCAAACACTCCACTACCTGCCAAGAACAAAAGGTGCCATCCAAACCTCCTTCCTCGAGTCACAAACACAAAGAGCCCTCTACAAAAGACAAGGGGCCTTCCAAGCCAGCATCCGCCAAACCCGCGACCGCCGAAGAAGGCTCCATCGGTGGCTTATTCGGCCTCTTCGACGGCGCCTCAGATGAACGCGACCACGATGGCATCAATCCCAAACCCTACTGGAACGACTGGAACAAACGCCCTTCAATTCCCTCCTCCCGTCCTATCAGGAACCTCTATATTGCACCTGAAGCACCGTTGCCTTTGGTGCCCAAGCAAGCCGCTCGTGCGAAACATGTCGAGCACCAAGTCAAGACCGGCAAGGGAGCACAATACCTGCATCTCTGCGCACGTCCTGAATACTTGGACAGTATGAGGCAGCCGTATGCAGTGTTTACCTTCAAATACCGCAGCAAGAGAGTCATTGAGAAGAAATTCAAGATTGAGATCAAGGAAGAAGGCAAGGCTCTCAAGGCAAAGTTGGCAGACATGTCAAGGGAGGAATTGGCTGAGGAAGTGTTCAAGCTGAAGGTAAGTCATGCTATCATTCTTCTTGTGATGAGCAAACCACTGATGGGATGTAGATGGCGCAGGAGAGCAAGAAGCACCACAAAGAAAAGAAACTTTCTGCACACAAGCCCCAGGAGATGCCTACCACGAGCCAGACTCCCTCCAAGCCACCCTCAAAAGCCGCCACCGCACCAGCACCTGTATGGGACGCTCAACCTGTCGCCAATGAATGGAACGCCGAACCTGCCGCAAACGACTNNGGGAGAACCCTGAGTCCGCCACAAACAATTGGGAGAACCCCGCCGCCGCNNCGAAACCAAACCCGCCTCAAAGGCCCCTTCAAAGCAAGCCTCAAAGACAGCCTCCCAAAAGGCAAGAGAGGCACCAGGATCCTACCCAGCCTCTGAGTCTACCCATCACACTGCTACAGCTTCTGTCCATCACACCTATAGCGCAAAAAGTGCTACCAAGATATCTGCTTCCAGAAAGTCGAAAAAGGAAGAGGCTGCCGTTGCCGGAGCAGAGGCAAGCGCGGATCAAGCTGCTGCTACCGGAGGAGAAGAAAGCTGGGATCAACCACAACAGGATGCTACTGCTTGGGAGAACGCCCCGGTGGGTGATGCTACTTGGGGTGGAGGAGGAGCCCCTGCTGCTGACGTCAATTGGTAAATTCCATCCCACCGTCCCCTGACCTTATCTGAAGCAACATGAAAAATGTGCAAACAAGAGAGAGAGAAAGTGGAGAGAGAATAAGAGAGAACATTGGCTGACGAGGGTTGAATTGAAGGNGGAGCTCTACGCATCGCGATCACAATCATCGGAATCGCTGTCGCTGTTGTGGTTCTGATTGCTGCATACTACTGGATCAAGAGCTACGTGCTCAAAGCTATTGCTTTCTTNCTTTTGCTCAAATCATGGATCATGGCTCCCTTTACTTGGGCCAAGGATCCCTGGTTGAACTTGACCGACCTCGACTGGCTCTTTTCTCCTTTTGCTCGGGTGCTTGCTGGTATCAAGAGGGTGTTTCTGGCAATTGTGGAATGTGGATCTAAAGTCGTGGTTAGCAGACCCAGATTTCCGGGACTGGATGCTTGGAGCATGGAGTGGTTCAAGAGACCTGAGTGGCTAGTTTGGCGTGAAGGCGTGCCAGAAGTTGCCAAGGATGGTTTCGATGTCTTTGTGCCTGATGGCGTACACGCAGTCGAAGAAACTATCGAGGAGATCTAAAAAGTCAGTCTCTTGTTGGATGGCACTTGCCTTAGATCTCGTCTCGTGTAGTCGAGTCGGTATAAGAACCCGTTCTTCGTCGTCAACGGTTTTTGTAATGAGGTATAGCATAGTTTCATGGTGGGAGACAATGTTGAATATCAGCGCCCTCCACGAGTCACTGATTGTTGAGCGTACGTCCTCGATCGAGCGTGGCTGGAGAGTTGCAGCCATACTGAAGCGTCTGCACGTGTGAGAGATGCCACGGACCGTGCCTTTGTGCAAGACGATGTAGACGAAAGGCAGTGTGCCGCAGCAAGGCAAGTAATGAGAAATGGTGAGTTTCGTAAAGTCGTAATTGTGTATTGCAGCAAGTCTCCGCTGCTCTTCCTTCCCACATCTCTTCCTCATTTATTGTGCACCAAAAAGTTTCTCCATGAATCCCAGTGGTCCGCATTATCGTNACCTGAATCGTTTATGTCAGCAGAGGCTCTCTCCAAAGAAATCAAAACCAACACCCACAGATAAGTCATCGAACTCCTCAGACTCGGCTGCAGCATGTCAGGATAAAATCTAAACAACCACATCACACATGCCCAACTCAAACTCGCAAACACGGGCCAGGCATGCTTCCTCACAGCTTCCCTGTTCTTGTCTGATAGGCTCAAGAGCCCCATTCCTCCTCTACCGCCATATTTGCCGCCTAGTAGTGTATTGTCGCCCCTTGGTTGCACGGCCAAGCTCGCAGCAGCCAACACCACCCTCGCGGCAACGTAAATCACAATCTGCTGATTTACACTACTCCTACTGCGCCCAAAGACATAGTATCCACCCGCCAACCCCGCCAAGAATGAATCACTTTTCAGTTCCTTGCCAGAAGGTCTGATACTCTNTTGCAGCAGCATAAACGCTTTGTAGAGAAAGGCAAAGGTGGCTAGGTTTTTGGCATGTTGGCGCGTGGCTTTGAGGACGGCGGAGAGTTTTTGGGGCAAGGGCCCGGAGCGGAAGAGGAGGATCATGACGAGGGCGTGTGGGAAGCGGACTTTTGTGCCGTAGACGAGGCCATTGCGGAGGGCTTTTAGGAGGGAGAGGGGCGCTTGGTAGTGGGGGTCGAGGAGGATGCGGGTGGCTGTTGCCTGTGTTGAGAAGGGTCAGTGAAATGGCAGAGCAAGCGATGGAGACAAGACAGACCTGAAGCGCTGAGATGTCCATGTTGGTGGTTGGTTGGCGGTGTGTCGTGTGAGGATGTGGGAAGGGATGCTCGTTGCGTCAGGAGAGATTCTGTTGTCCTTGCTGTCGTCAAGAAGCAGATATCAATTTGGCAAGGTGAGATGTTGCAGTGGTCTGGACAAGCAAGAGTAGATCATTGTTTCTCTCAAAGCTGTCCATGTGCCCTTTGACATCTGATGAGCCAGCCGAGGGACGCTTGCCGGCTCTGGAAAACATGCCCGTAGCCTCGGTACATTACTACCCCAGATTTCTTGGCTTGGTGACGTCGACTGCTGCATCTCGCATGTGATAAACTCTAATCATTCAAACCTCTTCTCCTTCACTTCACATAGCGATGGACATGATTTGGTAATGTGCTCGATGTTACTTCATTGTATAAGGGAGTCAAACCGCTCCGCAAGTCAACAGATCTTTCGCTCTTTGATTTTCCATCCTGACCGCCTTTATCTATCTTCAAAAGTCCTAAAGGTCCACGGTAAATTCGTAATACCAGAAGCGTTTCGACCGCACGATAGCCAGCTTCTGCCAGTCTATGATCTTCTGACGAAAACACTTCGCGATCTTGTCGTTTGTCTGCCACTGTGCAAACTTTGTTGATGTGTTGGGTCGCAGTTTTCATCGTGCTGATATGGTAGAAGTTGTGTTGTGCCAAAAAGAAATTGAGTTGAGAGCGAGGTGGAGGTAAGATTAGATAAAGGTAAAGGTTGAATGGGTAAGAGAGGGGATAATTCGAAGAAGACCGTGTGGCTTTAGGCAAGTGTTTCTGGAAGGAAGGTGAAAGAAGCAGACGACAGTTGAAGGAAACTTTGGACGGTGCGAAAGAGCAGTGACCATATTCAAAGTAGTGAATGACTGCCACTGAATACGTAAGTGAGAGTCGACACGAAAGAAAGAGGACATCCGAGAATTTCCCATGTGCTCAGACGTGTCTTTCTTGTAGCTATAGCAATGGATGACGCTTCCAAGATACAAGGCTGTGTCCATTGAGAGTCAATAGCTAAGCGGCTCTCTTTAGTCACTTGTCTCAACTGGCAACCAATTGTGCATCTTAGTGGCATATAATAAGGGCATGGGATTGATCGTGAGATAGAGATCCGGGTGCAAAGAATTTCCTTGGAGCTAATCACACGTTCTTTGTAGGGCACGTTACGCAGCTTTGGAAACTATCTGAGGATGGCATCGCCTTTTTGCACTTGAGACCTCGTGGTTCTGAGTACAGGCTTTTGTGTCTCATGCTCTTGAAACATTCTCGTCCCGTTCCATCAAGAATCATCCCTTCTGGCTGCCCCTTGTCTCCAGATACTAATTGAACCATTAGTTGCTGCCGTTTCCGCCTCCATCAGATCCTATTGGGCATCTCTTCGTCATCCGAACCATCCTTCACATTTTCCTTGCTAAAGTCCAGGAATCTCTGCATCGTCATCTCGTTATTGACTTCGTTGCGAGCTTCCTCCCACGTTTTGAAACGATATCCTGGCTTCCCGCGCTTGCTGGAGTCGAGTCTTCTTTGGGCGTTGAAGAGTTTCTTGATGTCTTTTTCGATTCATGTGCAGAAGGTCTTGAGATACTTGACTTTGAAAGGCTTCCCGTCAGCTCTGACGACAAGACAGTTGCCCCATTTCTGTCTTCTGTAGTAACCCCATGTCTGGCACTCTTTGCCGCAAGGAATATCAAGCAGACTGGCCATAGGGTTGCGGAGATCCGATTCATCGTCTGTATCCAGAGGGTAAATACGCAGACCTTTGCCAAAGACAAGCTTAGGAAGGTCTGGGGACAAGGTTGTGTCCCGAGAGAGGTCGCTGACACTGAAGGATGATTTAGGCCCTTTATCCATGAACCAGCATTTGGACAGACGGCACAAGCTGTCGTCAAGTCAGAGTCGAGCCCCATCGAGATCGGTAATTCGAGGCTGTTATTGTTGTGTTGGACTGATTGAGGAGGATACAATTTTGCGTCGTGTTGGTGCCACTCGTGGTCTTGGAAAGGAACAAGTCGAGGTAAGAGATCGAGGTGAGGTTGAACAAAGACAAGGGCTGAATGAATGTCAGAGAGGGAAGAGCTAGAAAGACGGATTAGATATAGGTAGGTGTGAAAGCTCCGGCCGAGTGTTGGGGAAGGAAACTAAGAAAGGAAACAGTAAGAGAAGACGAGAGGTGCGATGGATCAAATGAGCCTATAGTTCAGTGATGGAGCAGCTTCAAAGGGAAAGGTTTGCGAGATCCAAACAGTGGCGGCAGTCGAGTGTGTGTTTTGGAGAGGAAGGTGACAGATTAGAAAGTCACGTTGCAGACGTCGAAAACGGAAATCCGTCCCAGTGATCAGTCGAGAGTAATGGCCGCTCCGAAAGTGAGATTTCAATGTGAGTAGAAACACAAGGCAAACAAATTGACGGGAAATGTTAAACGGGGGTATCAAACTAGCAACACCTTTTCACTCCTCACCAATGCACTTCAGACTCCAAGCCATCCGACTGTCATCCAGGTCAAAGGCCACCTCAGTTGTTGGTATTGAACCTACACAAAATTAGCCTCTGTATCTTGTCTCTTTCAAAACAAACGAATAACACTTACTTGTAATCACACTTGGGACACCTATAGAAAATCGTACTGCCCTCGTCCGCACCTCTCAACTGCACATCTCTAAATCTCATCTCCGGGTTTGCGCATTGGGGACATGCTGTGGTGGTCATGGCCCAGGTCTCGCGGTCTTCGGCCGAGAGCACTTGAATCTCGGAGCGGGCGTCGCGCAAGCGAGAAGGGAATGCTGTGGCTGCTGATTCGGTGGTGATGGATGTGGGCCACTTGTNCTGTTTGTGGTGGTTAGAATGACAATGATTCAAAGCAGTTTGGCTTCTTCTGAAATGGCTTGTGCGAATCTTGTATTTTCGGGTTTTGGAAATATGGCTTTTTCCGCTCTTTCTTGATTGACTGTACAGGAAAAAGAAGAAGAAAATCTACTTACTCTTGTTTCTCTTGCCACACACATCACAGTCAATGTTTGCCTGAGAAGCAGGGCATCGCTCCAGCAGGCCACCGCAATCGTTGCAGAAAAGAAGGGCTCCGACCAAAGACATTGTCGTGATATATAAAGTTGAATGTCGAGATGAAATGTTTAGTATCGGAGGTTTGTGGTCGAGGAAGAATTATGGAAGAAAAAATTCTTGGTACGGGTGTTGCATAAGCGTGCATAATCACGTGCTGCATAAACACAGAACCAGAACACATCAGCACCAGTATCAACAGAGAGAGTAATCGAGTAATCGCTTTTTGTTTCGAAGTAATGATTATAAACTATGAAATATATGTTCCAAAGCCACAAAATCTGTGTTTGTGTCCTTTTCAATGCAACCCATCCAACCAAGGGGGAAAAATGAACGCCTGCCCAATGCAATAGAAACATCAAGATAACATCAACAAGAGAGGAAGCACACACCCCTCTACCATGCCCAACTGCCCCTTCTAGCTCCAGTGCCCCAATTTCCACCAAGACCAGTGCCTGTTGAGCCAGTCTTGACCATGTTCTTTTCCTGGCGTGCCCATTCTCGAATGTACTTTTTCAGCGCTGACCATCTTGCGCAGCCGCCCTCCTCAAGCAATTGATCTGTACCATCGCCTCTGCCTTCAAAGTCCTCGCCCAGACGGATGTACCCGCGAGGCATGTTTTTGGCAATCTCGTCGTCGTGTCGAAGATCCGAAATGGGAACATGGCTGATCTTACACAGTTCTTCGTCAAATGCTCGGGCGATGGTTGGGTAGCCCAGTGAGAGGTAGTTGTAGACTTGTGTGACGAAAGAGTCAGGAAACTCACGCTCCATGACTTCGTCGAGATCTTGATCTTCACTCAAGATGATGTCGATACTATGGAAATCCATGTTCTCCGGTGGCGTGAGAGGCGTCTTGGGTAGTATGGTCTGTGGCGGTAGACTGAAGCCAGTTTCGAACGGATTCGGCGGCTCGACAGCTGGTGTCATCAAACCGGTCTGAGTGCCAGATGTGGGAGGAGCAAGACCATTTTCGTCAGGCTTCGCATCATCAACACAGAAGCCTCCCCAAAGTCCACCGCCGTTCTGCGAGGTAGTACTCTTCTGGCTGTAGATGGTGTGCTGGCTTTTCTGTACAGACTTTTGATGTAGAGAAGCATCTCCCGATGCCTTCTTGCCACCCCAGAGACCTTCTGGCGAGACTTCTATTTGAGACTGCTCAGTCAAATAACACATCTGACTACGCAACTGATTGGAACCTTGAGTGACGTCAAAACGTGCAGGTTCAGGCGAGGCAGAGCGAGGGAATGTCAAATCGGTACCGAGCATGGGCGGGCGTGCTCTATCGCGCATTGCTCTTGCTTCGCTGTCAGGGTAATTGGAGCCAGCAAAGTCGTGACCAGCGGGGTTCCACCATGGCGAGGGTTTGACGGAAGACTTTCGTCTCGTTGTACCAGCAGCCTTGCGCTCTTGCTCCATCTCCTCAAAATGTTGGTGCATTTCGCGAACCTCGTACGTTCCGTGAGTTGAGCCACGGCCATGCGGTGTACGAACGTTCATCATATAATCATCGTCATCATGACCTTCCCACGTCGCTGGGCGGTCGTCCATCTCTTCGTCTTCATCTTCACTCTCACCGTTCATAAAATGTGCGACAGGTTCGTGAATGTCTGAGTTGGGGAAGGCAGCCAACGCTTGTTCCTGGAGCTTCGCCTGGGCCTTCCTACCCTCAAGCTCGAGAAGGTAACGACTAAAGGTTTCGTCGACGCTCTCACGAATTCTTGTGGCATGTTTGTATGCAGGGTTGATTGGCTCCATGGCTGCTCCGAGCGAGAAGTCGTTGGACGAGGGACTTGTAGAGAGACTGGGTGGCGCACTGGGCTCGCTTTCAGAGCTCTCAATGGTCTCAAGTTCGGGCATGCGGAACGAATGGCTGCGAGCAGAATCGGATCGATCTTTTCGGCGTGCGAACGGCATGACGAACCGGGGATACTCGGTTGGTGAAGTTGTGCTTTCACGATTGGCGATAGTAATCTGCTGACCTATGTTGTTGTATGCAACTCTACTCTCCTCCCCGGGGGATATGTCGGTTCTGTGATTTGCAGACCATGAGGGTTTCTCATCCGAGTTCTTTCGGGTACGACTCGACGTATCGATGAGTTGAGGAGCGAATTTACGCTTTGGCTTCTCGACAGGAGCGTCTTGAGGTTGTGATGAAGGAGATACTGCCTCGTTCGGAGGAGACTTTGTCTGTGGGGAATTTGTCTGAGGAGACTTGGATTGAGGGGACTTTGACTTTGGACGGTTGCTGTTGGACGTCATCTCGATGGGTTGTGGTAAGAGGCGTGACTTGGGCTGCTCTGCTGCTGTATCCAATTGTCGATTGGTCTTGGTGCTCGTCTCGACAGGCTCAGGAGAGAATCTTCTGATGGATTGTGGTGGTGAATCTTTTTGTCTTTGCTGCTCCTCACGCTGGTCTCGACGGGTTCTGGTGCGAATCTTCTAGCAGGCTGTTGCGGCCGTTGTGTTTCCCGTGAGCTCTTTGTGCTTGTCTCGACGGGTGTTGGACTAAAAGCGCCTCGGTGGGGATGGATTGACGCTGCGAGCTGCTGCAAGAGGGGAAGGGCTATTTGTGTTGGTATCCTTGCTGCTCCGTGTTGTGGTCTCGGCTGGCTCAATATTGAACCTTCGTGGAGCAGCATTCTCCTCAGACTGTGCAGCTTGACGATTCGATTTGGATGATGTCTCGACGGGAGTCGGGTCGAAGCGGCGACGTGGCTGATCGGAGGACATGGTGGTGGTGGAGATGGTTGGGATGTGCTTGATCGAAGCAAGCTGAGAATGTCGGATTTAAGTGCTACCTCATAACCTTGATCTAAGAGGTGAAAGCGACTGAGGGACCTTGTTGCGAGCGTGGTCGAGTCGTGTCGAGTGGCTAGACTGTGCAGGCGTCGTGTAGGCTTCGTACGAGAAGTGAGGGGCACAATTGGAAAAGCGATCAACGAGTGCTACGAGCTATGTCAGTCGTCGTGGTTCGGGTGAGACGACACGGAGACACTGCATACTCTAGCTGTAAGATGCAGGTTGTTGAAGGTGTCCGGTACGTCGGCTCAGTGCGTCGCGGCGGGCGTGGAGATGGATGAGTAGGCGGGGGCCGACGGTGAATTATGCAGAGTAACCAAGAATACAAATGTCTGATCGCTGGAATGTCGTCGATGTCGTGGAAGTGAGAGAGAAACAATGGGAGTCCTTGACCGCTGGATGAGGACGTGGACGTAGGATTGACCTCAGAGCGTGATGACCAAAGAGCAGGAGATCGGCGGATGGAGAACGAGATCGGGCTTCTCGGCGCAACACTCTGTTCCAAAAGCAAGCAATTGTCTTGAGGCTCCTTGGTCTGTCAAGAGACGCTGCGAAAAGAAAGCAATTCCTACTGCAGGACAGAAGAGACGGGAACAGGGGAAAGAATTGTATTCAAGGTACAACAGTACCTTTGGACACCGCTTCCATCCCCATCGCGCACCCCAATATTAAAACCCCATCCAAAGGCACATGCTCAGGCCCATCCTGTCCCGTCGCCGCCCGAACCACCGCTGCTTTCGTCAAAGGCGTCGAGGCGTTCTTTAGCCTAAGCTTGGCACCATCTCCGGATTATCATGCCTGGATCACCGCATCCAGCAACCACATCGCTTTCCATCTCGAGGTTCTCCCTGCTCTCGATCATCGACCAGCTGTAACACATACCATCTCAACCTCTTGCTGATAGCTGCTCTCTAATCTCAATGTCTGTGTCTATATCTCAATCCATGCACGCATCCAGAAGCTTGCCCAACTAAAGATCTTGCCGCTATTGGTTTTGCCTTCTCCACAATCTCAGCAGGATAAGCTCAACGGTCGCGGTACAGCTGCAAGAACAGAATTCTAGCCCCCTCTGCTGCTGAACTCGGAGCTGAAGATCATCTTTTTTCTTGCATCTCGATGTCCGCGGTTGAAGCTGGGTGCATATCTATCCTGAACGTGATATTGATAAGCGTCTCGTATCGCTGCTCATTCACAGTTATATGTCCTGCGTAACTTTTCCATCTTCAGGTACTCGATCTTGATGACTTTTTGTTGTTGTTGGTGCGGATGTGGCTTTGCGGAAGTTGACTGTCAACCTTCGTGCATGTCTGATGTGAGACCCGTCTGCTCAGACTATGCCATGTGATCTGGGAGGGAGATTGGACAATCATCAATTACTGTATGTCCGTTTCGACAAGAGGTGCCATGCATCATACTCATTTTACATTTTTGTTTACAGACATTCAAAATATAGCCTGTTGTTGTGCATCTGTATTTTCCTTTCATGCTAGTAGATAAACAACACTTTTTCAACGTTTACCTGCTCAGGGCAATGTCGTCGATTCTCAAAATCATCTTGACTGTCTCGGCAGCCAGTTCAATGGCGCTGGTGCTGACGAGAAGAGGCTGCATGACACCTTCACCACCTTCCCCAGCATTGCCGCCAACCTCACCACCCATGACACCAACGCCTCCGCGCTTGATGCTGACACCAACATTCGTCTCGCCGTTTGCGTGTCGTGATCGGAGTTCTGTGACGACCTTGATCGAGTTGAGACCGGCGTTTTCTGCCAGAGTGATAGGGACGACTTCGAGGGCTTCGGCAAAGGCCTTGAAGCAGATGTTGTCTGGGTAAGATGAAGTGAGGGCGAGTCTGGAGAGCGAATGCGAGACGGCCATTTCCGGCGAACCACCACCAGGGAGGAGAGCCTTCTTCTTTACCAAACAGCGCAACACACACTGTGCATCGTGCAAACTTCTCTCGGCCTCGTCCAGAATGAGGGNGTTGGCACCTCTGCAGATGATGCTGACCGTCTTGGGGGCGGTGGGGCCTGTTGTCTTGATACCGGTGACCTTGGTGATGCGCGAGCCGAGCGATGAAACCTCCTCGATGAGATCTGCGCTGGCGAGCTTGTCCTCTGTGAAGGAGTCGATGTCTGCGATGGGTTTGCAACCAGTGCNTCTGCATAGGTATCAGTAGGTCGTACATTTGGCATAAGATTCGGGGGAAAGGGGCCGTACCTTGCAAATGAACTCAACCTCGTCTCTCTCAATGTCCTTGACGCACATGATGCCGAGCTTGGCCAGGAAATGCAGAGAGAGGTCGTTAACAGCGTCTCTGAGGATGGATTTTTGAATGAAGAGCACGTTGCACTTTGCCTTCTTGATCTTCTTGACCATGTTGAGCAGGTATGTTCTCTCCTCTTTCAAGATCTTGTCCATCTGTCTGTAGTCGTTGACAACGATTTGGTTCTCCATGTCGGGTTTCGGCGGGCTGAGTTGGAACTGAATAAGAGCAATTCTGGCCTTCTCGATTCTGGTAGGACCGCCACCGCTCTTGACGACCTGCTGGTTGAGCACCAAACCATCAACCATCTCACTGTCATCAATAACACCGCCGGGCTTCTTGAGAATGCGAATGTTCTTCAGGTCGACGTTGTCGGCAGTCTTGGGGTCGATGATCTTGAGGACCGAGTCGACGGCCATGGGAGCGAGCTTAGGTTCTTGTGCGACAATCTTTGAGGAGAGCGAGGTGGAAGCGGCCTTGAGGAGAGTCTGTCTGTCGGAGAGGTTGATGGGGATGGAGATGTTGGTGAGGACCTCGACGGCGTGCTTTGCGGCGCGTTGGAACGAGTCGGAGATGATGGTAGGGTGAAGACCCTTCTGGAGCAGGCGCTCAGAGGCACCGAGGAGAGATCCGGCGATGACAACGACTGAGGTAGTTCCGTCACCAGCTTCGATGTCCTGAGCGTTTGCAAGGTCGACGAGCATCTTTGCGGCGGGGTGCATGACGGCCATGTCGCGCAACATGGTGTTGCCATCGTTGGTNNCTGGCCCGGGGTATCAGTGTGTGTTCGGGGTTCATGGGAGCGGTCTTCGATATGAGCTTACGATGATGGTTTCGCCCTTGCCGGTTTGGANTCTGGAGTCATGTTAACGATTGCGCAGACAGAGTTGGAGAGCTTGTATGCGTACCATCTTGTCCATACCTCTGGGACCAAGCGNACTAGGAGAGATGTGTCAATGTGAGTCCAGTATGGTTTGTTTCAGCGGCTAGCTTACGGTACGAATGGCATCGGAGACGGCTAGACAGAGTCAGTGGAAGGTCGAGTAGTGGATTGAAGGGTGCAGCATACCTCTGGCAGCAACAATGTTGGCAGTGCGCACAGCCTGGGGCTTCTCCTTGTCCTATTCCATGTTAGCATCGACAGGAGAGCTAAGTCGTTTCCAAGGACAGTTCGCACCTTGAAGGCGGCGTTGCCGGCGTTGGGGGCTGCGGCTTGGGTCGACATGATCTCTGCTGCGTATCCTGGGAATATGCGACGAGCAAGAGACGGCTTGAACAAGAATCAAGCACGGGATACGGGTGTTACAGAGTGTTGACCTTGTTGCTGATATTAATTTTCGAAGCGTCCAGCGTCGGCGTCGGGAATGAGCTGCCAAGCAAAGCGTCTCTGGAGCTGCTGCTGCTGCTGCTGCTGCCGTCTCCGTCATGTTGCGGCGACACGGCGAGAGCTTCATCCATCAACCACCACCAACACTCACACCACATCTACCATCACCCTTGTCTCGCTCCATCTCCCACCTTTCTGGACGGTCGAATCACTCTCCGCCCGCCTATAGTCCAGTCTCTGGCCTCACCACCATCTGTCACTTCACTCCCGCATTCGTCATCAACATCTAAACCACCGCCGCCATGCCCAGCGCCACGGGTCAAAACTGGGAGAAGTATCAGAAGAAGTTTGCCGACGACGAGCCCGAAGAGAAGAAGATCACTCCCTTGTCCGACGAGGATATCCAAGTCCTCAAGACGTACGGCGCCGCTCCCTATGCCGCCGCCCTGAAGAAGCTCGAGAAGGACATCAAGGATCGCCAGACGAGCGTGAACGAGAAGATTGGCGTCAAGGTATTATCACGTCCTGCTCCGCCCTCACCCTGCCATCCATACTGATGCCCTCGTAGGAGTCAGACACCGGTCTCGCCCCTCCGCATCTCTGGGATATCGCCGCCGACAGACAACGCATGTCAGAAGAGCAGCCGCTGCAAGTCGCCCGCTGCACAAAGATCATCGCCGACGAGAACGAGGAAAAGAGCAAATATGTCATCAACGTCAAGCAAATAGCAAAGTTCGTCGTCAACCTCGGCGAGCGTGTCTCTCCCACCGATATCGAGGAAGGCATGAGAGTAGGGTACGTCAAGTCTTCACTGGCCAACCTGTGTCTTCTGCTAACACTGCACCGCTAGTGTCGACCGTAACAAGTACCAGATCATGCTCCCCCTTCCGCCCAAGATCGATCCCTCAGTCACCATGATGACAGTCGAAGACAAGCCCGATGTCACCTACGGCGATGTCGGTGGTTGCAAAGAGCAGATCGAGAAGCTACGTGAAGTCGTCGAGATGCCCCTGCTGTCACCAGAGCGCTTCGTCCACCTCGGTATCGACCCTCCCAAGGGTGCTCTTCTCTATGGTCCTCCCGGAACCGGTAAAACTCTCTGCGCCAGAGCCGTCGCCAACCGAACAGACGCCACTTTCATCCGCGTCATTGGTTCCGAGCTGGTGCAAAAGTACGTTGGTGAGGGTGCCCGTATGGTGCGTGAGCTCTTCGAGATGGCCCGTACAAAGAAGGCCTGTATCATCTTCTTCGACGAAATTGATGCTGTTGGTGGTGCTCGCTTCGATGACGGCGCTGGTGGTGACAACGAGGTACAACGTACCATGCTGGAGCTCATCACCCAACTCGACGGTTTCGATGCTCGTGGAAACATCAAGGTCATGTTCGCTACCAACCGTCCTTCTACTCTCGATCCTGCTCTCATGCGTCCTGGACGTATCGATCGTAAGATTGAGTTCTCCTTGCCCGACATGGAGGGTCGTGCCAACATCTTGCGCATTCACGCAAAGAGCATGAGCGTTGAGCGCGATATCAGATGGGAGCTCATCTCTCGTCTATGTCCCAACTCAACTGGTGCTGAGTTGCGATCCGTCGCTACCGAGGCTGGTATGTTCGCCATTCGTGCCCGCAGAAAGGTTGCCACCGAGAAGGACTTCCTCAGCGCTGTGGAGAAGGTCATCCGCGGCGGCCTCAAGTTCAATTCGACCGCCGCCTACGCCCAATACAACTAGAACAAGAAGAGCGATTCCAGTCTTCTTGATTTTCACGACCTCCTCATCCCTTCACACCATTTCGAATCATGTCATGGTTGTAATTTTATCTATTCAGGAACCACTTTTCAGGAGGGTTCACTCAGCCCGGCGCATTTGACAGGGCTCTTTCATGCATCGGCTGACACGAAGGCGTTCCGGGAAGCAGAAGCAGGGTGTAGTAGAGTAACCTTGACACCAAATGCAAATGTCCAAAACATGAAAAATCAAACAAATAGACTTGTCTTCAGCATTGACACAACAGATCTCCGACATAGCTTCCGAACGGCTGTCGACCGTGTTACTCGCGAGTGAGGTTCTGTGAATAGTACTTCTCCTGGAAAGACGTTTGGGTCGCTTTGATTATTCCGACTGCTCCTGCCTGACCTCAAAGGCCTCATGAGTTCAATCTCAAAAGAGGAAGCGGCAACCACTGTCCCTTTGCTAGAATTCACAAACACTTCAACTATTTTGCAATTGTCGTGCGTTCGTTCTCTCACGATCGACCCATCTTAATTCACTCCTTTAGGGAGCCCTCGACCAGGGGACCTCGTACCGCCCTCGCACGGCAGCCTCACATCCATCGTTCAAATCACGTTCATGAACTCGACAAGAAGATGAAGTTTCCCTCGCCATCTTCGCAGCATCGGTTGTACTGGCTCAATTCGGCACCAACATCCCTCCATGCTTGGTCCTTGACATCCTGTCACGTCCTTCCACGTTATCTCTCTAACTCTACTCACAGTCAGTGTGCATGGCACCTTATCCTGACGCACACTCAGTAGCGATATGCATGTCAAACTGGACTTCCACAATCTCCTTGTGCATCGACGGCTCATGCAGCGTCTCTGTCTCTTCTACCAACATCAACACTCGCACGAGCATGTTCTTCACTCCAAGTTATGACGATGACTGCCAGCAAAGTCTTAGCAATGGAGCAACTCGACCTCAGTCCACACTACAACTGCGACCCGGCATCTGCCAGACCAACTCATATCGCTTTCAATCGTTCCTGATCTCCACTGGCCAGAATGGTATCCAACAGGACTGCTCGCTAGGACTGTTCGAGGAGGGTCAGTGTGCCGGTGGAACAAGAGAAGTTCCACTCGACACTAGCGTTGGTTCGACTGGACAATGCTGGGACGTTGGCGGTCAGAGTGTGATGCTCTCGTGTGGTGAAGGAGGAAGTGCGTCCGACAATCAAGGCGAGTAGCTAGCCAAAAACTATCATCTTGAACTTGAACTGGATGCTGACTAGATTTGCNNAGCGGCACACATCTACCTATCCTCCCTCTGTAGCATCAGCGGTCCTACAGTCACTTCGACTCGACTACGATCCTCAACATCACTTGTCGCAGCAGACACGACCACCCTCGCCACGTCTATTCCCTCAACACTTGCTCTGTCGAATCTCACAGCTGGCACACTTGGTGATCCTCCGACATCTGCAAACACAACATCATTCGCTACCACTAGTATCGCTGTTATCATCCCAAGCGTTGTTTCTGTCAGTGGCGACGGGATTGAGAAGCAAGCAGCCAAGAGAGGTGGTGCTGCCCAGTGGGCTTTGGTCGTCGTCGTGTTTGCTAGAAGCCTTATGTATTGAAGACTGACCTTGGCTATCATACTTACATGATATCTTACCGGTTGCGGGAACGCATATTCACTGGTTGGAGAAGAGAGCAAGGCATGAGCTGGGCTTGTGTACACGGAGCAACAGTATATATTATGACAGTATTGACGTTGCATATCGAGTATAATAATTCAACATGTTCTACATCTCGCGGTATCATCCAAAAACAGATCAAGAACAGTGACCTCTTAGTAGACAGATTCTCAGCAACAACAGCACTGTGTCTCTTTATAGACGGAAATGGTATAATGGGTTCTTCAGAGATGTCATGGACAATCTCGATACCTTCACTCCTTCCGCTGAATCGGCCATAAAGATGACGACTCCTACAGACAATATGAAACTCACAACCATGCTCACCAAGCAAGCCAATCAGAGACTAGAGGAGTACGAGAAGATCTGCTACTTGCCTTTTGGTTACATTGCAAAGAACATCGCCATAGTCCAGAGCGATGCTTACAAGGAGATGTAGTCTCGGCCAGCTTTCTAAGAAACATCATTTCGCTAGCGTCAATAACATCGTGCATAATTCTTTTTACAGCTTATGAGTCTTGTTTGCAAGCTGTAGGGTGGTTGCATGTGGGAGAGAGAAGCTCAACATCCTCATAGGCAGACTAGAGGGATACTTTCCAGCCCACACTTGCCAACAACACTTTTGAGTAGGACAACCATTTTTCCGGTATTCAGACCAGTCGTGTTCTTGAGAAGCAAGCCTTGTGGTCTGTGGGGGTTGGTGTATCGGAACAAAAGTCGCTTTGAGGATGTGTGTACAACATTTTTCAACGTGGCTTCTCGGGCTGTGTGAGTCTGAGAAGTCATCCGCGAGGTACGAAGCTACGGAATGATGTGCTGACTGGATGACACACAGGTCAGGTCAGGCAATACTGGAATCGCAACAAAGTACAGACGCAATACAGAGCTGTAGATGTGATCTTTGCGGCTGTGCTAGAGCAACAGCAACAACAACAAGCAACATTCTTCAGCCCTGCAAAGCAACACAGCCGCATAGTGTTGTCGCAAAGACGGCTGAAAGTGCGCTGCCAGTTGATCCATGCATGGTGCCTGAGCGATCGTGCGGAGGTGTCGTTCACCGCTCATCCACTCTGGCGGATACCTGGGGTGGTGGTCCACAGCACGAGCAACTTTCCAGACCGATGGGTTCTTTTGCTTAATGTCACAACTCATCAAAAGGAAACCGGGGTTATGTTTGTGTCTTCAAGAGTCATAAGAGCAATTTGTGACAAAGCCAACGAGAGCACCGGTGAGCATGTGGATGCTCGGATGGTTCGATGTATAGATGTTGTTATCTCCATCGTCCACGAGCTACGAAATCTTCCGATGGACGCGGGGGTCTGTCAGGCACCAGTTTCTGTGCTGCGAGAAGGCTGCATGGCATGCATGAACTTGCGCCGCGCGTGCAGCGCTTGTCAGCGGGCAGTGCGGACACGGCGGACACGGCGGAAGGAGAATCAAGGTCATGTGTTGCTTCCAGACAGCTAGGTCGCCGGGAATCGGGCGGACCGCCGTCAGAGAAGGACTGGAGAAGCAACACATGCATGCTTGTTTGTTTCTTGCAGCCCGAACTGTTTGATTGTCACGCAAAACAAAAAGACAAAGCAACCTCTGTGCTGGCATCTGCACTCACACACCACAAAGCAAGAACAGACGACCAGCGAGGACGGTGTACAGAGGAAAAGACTGGTACAAGGAAACGACCTGACCAGGCAACCTGAAAAGGCTGTGCCGATGGTCGGATGGGCCGAAATTTGATACCAGGTGCTGGAGCTGATGCTTTCTCAGCTTTTGCTCTTTGCAGCCCAAAACCAGACACAGACTACAACAACAAAGAACAAAAAAAAAAGCACAAGCCCTTGGCGGTTTCATACCAGACCCTTGTCCAAAAGATGCAAAAGATCAAAAGAGAAAAAAAGCCAAGCACCAAGGCCAGATACGACAAGATACGACGGATCCGAAGCATCAACTCGGCAAGACTGAATCGGAACTTCCGAGTGCCGACCACAGCCTTTTGGCGAGTCGCGACCGAGTCGTTTTTGATGGTCCAAGAAGATCCAAGAGACGAGACTCGGAGCAAACACCGTATCGAGCAACAAGTTACGAAAAGGAAGCATCGACAAACAATTTTTTTCTTTCGCGTGACAACCAACCCGCCGCCCGTCAAGTCACCGTGCTTTGCTCGGACAGAGCAAGAAAAAACTGCCATTTCTCGCTTCCAACGCATTCTTTGCACGGCTTCTTTGCGGAGGGACGATTGACAACAATATTGAATTAGGCGATCAGATGGATATGTCAGCCCCGCAAGAAGCCCGCAAAAAGCGCTTCCATGGAAGCACCAGAAAAATAAACAGATCCTTTACAAATTCTGATTTTTCTTGCTCTCGGCGGTCGGTCGGAGTGAAGAAATTGATTGACGAGATGGATCTGCCTTGTGATGTGGAGGATGGGTTTTTTGGATGACGCCAGGCAGGGAAGGAAAAAAAGTTTAAGCTCGGCAACCTGCATCGCCGGGTGCCCGGCAGCGGTTACAAGCGAGGTTAAGGCGGACATGGGAATCCACCTTGCGAGAGCCTGATCCGGTCAATAGCGAGCACTCATGGTTTGGTTAGGCGAGGGTGAAAGGAAGGCGGACAAGACAGATGGAAAGCACATGGATCACAGAGAAGTAGAAGAGATTTGAAGGTGAGAAGATTGTTATGATTAGAGAAAGAGGCAAGTGAGGCCTGTTAGATAAAAGAAGAGGAGCTTATAGCTCAACTCTTTTGTGATAAAGAAGAGATGTTTCCGTTTCCCCTCCCGAAGATGATCATAAAAAAACGCCGTTGGCTCCAAGCCGGGATATCCTAGTCGTGATGCCATACAAAAATGTGGAAAAAAGAAGAATCGCTTGAACGCTGGACAAGATGGATGAAGAAGAGTGAAGAGCGTCTAGTAGGCGCTGATCATTGGTGATTGCCGTTGCGAGATGACAATGTTGTCACCAAGGTAATCTGAGTGGTCCATCTTGTTCAAGTAGGGTGTTGTCTTGATAGGTTGAGCGTGTTGTGATTCTTGAAGGTCCATTGCTTCTTGTGTAGGCGATGGGGGCATGGACTCGTCTTCTGAGTCCGAGTCGCCGTGAACAAGCTCTGGCGGGTGCGAGTCGACTCTGGTAAGAGCGTGCTCCTCGTCGTACTCGTAATCCTCCTCGAACTCGTCGTCGTCAACCTCGACAGTCGAGACAGAGTATGATGAAGGGTGTGCGTGGATGAAGTCGTTCTCCTCGTCGTAGAAGGAATCCTCGTCGTCACTCTCCTCGTCAGATGAATCCTCCTCGAGCTCCTCGGCGATGGAGTCGATCCATTGAATGTGACGGGTAGCAGGGTCAGGCTTGCTGGCCTTGATAGACTCGTTGAACCAAGCCTCTTGCTCCCTCTCTGCGTCCTGAAGTTCGATCATAAGAGTGTCGAGAAGGTTTGCGTGGCCAACAAGGAGTCTGAGGTTGTGGTCTGCACGAGAGGCCTCACGACCAAGCTTGCTCCTTGCGGTGGATGCGATGTAGTATGTTTGTGTGAGAGACATTCTTTGCTTCTTGGCTGGTGATGCAGCAGATCCAGGGAAGTATGATTGTGTCGACATTGTGAGATGGTTGTTTTATAAGAACAACTATCTAATATGTGAGTCAGTATTGTGATTACTCAATCTGTCGCAATGGTTACTCACAGCCAATAAGATATGAGTGGCTGATTGAGGTTAAAAGGCAATCGGGTAGTGTTGCTATCCAGTGATGATCAAAGCCTGGGGAAGATGGTTGTTTATGTATAAGCTGGTTGTTCGCCGGGTGTGATTGTGATGAAACAGAAAGCACCTGTCAGCCGGACGTCCATGGGAGTTATAATACCAGTGCTCAGGCACCCATGATCGGGTCTCAGAGAGCTTTGTCATTCCGGGAGGTAGACGTTTTCCCTTCCGTTCTTGATCTGAACTCTAATCCACCCATCACCGGGCGCAAGAAAAGACACCGCCCGCTCCGCTCGGATTTTAGAATCCCTCCTGCAGGATCGGCCGGTCAAGCCGTGTACAAGTCGTGGCATGAGTAATCCGACCCAGCCAATCGCATCGCTTGCGCACACATGCTGTGAGTAATGCTGAGCAAGCATCCATTGACATTCTGCTTCGAAAGCTGCCTTGGATGAGGCATCAATTGTCAGCCAAATTCTAAACAGTATTGTTAATCCATCGCATTAACAATCCGTTGCGACCACTGAATGCCTCACTGATCTGGACCCCTACCAGCATTGAACGAGAGCGAGCGTTGATCAGGCGTGAAGCAATTACTTTTCCATCGCGCAAGTATCGCATCGAAGCCACGCTCTCTAGCATTTCTGGGGCACATTTTGGCCCAGACCGATCAGAGCCTGTAACCAAATTGACAATCTCGCGAACGCATCCGGCGACGGTCGCAACGGTGACTCGGACCTTTCTGCTGACCGCAAAGCCTTCACAGCAACGCGCCGCACTCGGACCTTTGTGTCGCCGTATTCGCGCGCGTACCCGTTTTCCGCCCTCTGCAGGGCAGTCGGTGTGTTGTTGCGCCGCACCCCCTTTGACTTTCGTGGAGTCAGGCAGAGAAAACTGCCCTTGTTTCACGGAGCCTTTTCTCTCCGTATGCAGCTGCAGATCACATCAGCGTCACTGCCGCAGTACCCGGAAGACGTAAAATCCGAGTTATGGTCGTCAATGTCGCAATCCATCAGACCCTTCGTTCATGTCTAGCGAAGATACGTTAACATCCAGGTCATTTTGCGTCTTGCATCCCCGACCTCGTCGTGTCTGGAATCGAGACTGACACCATGACTTGACTCAACAGCCTCAAAGTTCAAGGGGCGCAGGGCATGCACGGCTATGGCTTGGCTCAAATCCAGTTACAGTGATAAACTCCAAGTTTGGCAGCCGTGGCTGACTTTTTGCCTACT